GACCAATGTATGGTGTGGCAATTATTCTTCTAAGAACCTTAGTTATACTTAAGATGCCATTTGGAACATTGTTCATGTTGATCATTTTGCCTAATTAGGTTTCCAAGTCATGGTTGACCAATTTGGACCCCTAGAGCTCCTATGTTTGACTGTTTAAAAAGTGTAGCTTAGGAGGTTTGCATGTCTGAGCAACCTAAAGCAAAGTTGTAGCAAATTTTATAAGGAACAAACTTTGTTTAGAAGTCCAGTCATGAAAATGTGCAGAACATGCTCAAAATTGGATTTCAACACGAAAGTTACCCCTGATTCCTGAGAAAAAATGTTTCTAAGTATTAACTCTGAAAAACAGTTCATGTACTCGACTTGTCAGCCCTGTAGCTACCAAACCAAGCCGAACCAGCTCGAGCTCCAATTGATAAAGTTGAAGATCTCACTTGGTACTACAACTTTGTCAACTACACCTTAACCTGGATCATCACGGATTAGGAGTATGATCGTTGTCAACTTGCGCTGTCAGGCTCGGTTGGCTTCGCTGAATCGAAAAGCCTGAATCGGCACAGTGACCGACCGACAACAGAGTCTCCGTGCCGTGTGGCGCCACGCGTCGCCGGCCGCCTGCCTAGTCAGGCCATGTTGGGCCAGAGCTCAGTAATTGAAACCACAACACGCCACCGAGAGCCCCCCCTATGCCTCAGTTTATTTCTTCGCTTCCTTCCTTCTCCTTCACAGCCGCAGTGGACCGCCGCTGTCGCCTGTTGCTCCGACGAGCTCGCACGCGCTCACCGCTGCGTCTCGCCTCGCACCACTCCGCTCAAAGCTCCGCTAGCACCTCACGGTCCTCGTTGACGTCTTCGCTGTGCCGTAAGAGCTCTAGGTGAGCGGCATTGCCGATTCCGCGCACCGCCGCGCCATGGCGGCGCCGGTGGCCTCGCCGTGGCCAGCTCAACACCGCTCCTCTCTTCCTTCCCTAGCTACAGTATCTCCTTCTCCATCATGTGCTGATGCCTGGGTGAAGACGTCACCACCCCCGTCGGTCCAGCCAGGCCTGAACACGGCCGCGCGCCGTCGTGCGCCATGGCCGAGCCGTCGAGCTCCGTGGCCGGGGTACCTAGAGTCTGCTAGAGCTTAGGGTTAGTAGGTCATTTGACGCGGTAGGTCATGGCGAGCACGGAGGTACCCTCTGCGTCGCCGGTGAAGTCGCCGCCGGCGAGCTACGCCGTCTTCCGCGCCGTCGCAGCCATGTCCCCTGCTTCGCTGTCGCTGACCCGTGGGTCCGGCTGACAGTCGGGTCCCACACGTCAGTGACTGCTTGTTTCTAAGGATAGCTCATTTATTCAGTTTTTGAATACAGTTTGTGATTTTTGTATCTCCAAATTGGTAGATCCAAATGGTGTGAGGCTAATTTTGGTAGAATCATAGTGAAGTCTAGTATTTAAGAAAAATATGGCTTGAGCACATTATGTTGAAATGTTGGATGAATTAAATAGGAACTTGAAAGGTGTTTTTGAATGCATGCAAACTTGTTTAAATCATATCTTGAGTTTCTGTGATCCAAAAATTATGAAATTTTGTGGGTGAGCTAGTCTTGTATAGTAGAAGCTCTGGTTAAAATTTGAGAGTCATTGCATGTGTAGTTTTTGAGTTATAGATTTTCCTTTTATCATTGGTAGATACTTGGGTGAATTTTTGTAAATTATGTAGGAATCCTATGGCCATGAAACTTGGTAGGTAGTATCTTAGTACCTTAAGGATGATAGGAAAAATAGGAAATCTGTTGCTTGACACTTTTCACTAAGTTTTCCAAATTATGCCATTTGAAGCCAGTCTGCCTTCCCATTTTTGTGTAGGTTGTTATACTTACTCAAATGGTGTGAAATTTTTTGGTAGTCTACTTAGGGCATGTAGTGTCTACTGTAATTTTTGTAGATTTAATGGTGTAGTTTTCATATATGTTTACTATTTCCTCTAATTAATTAAATAAATTAAGAAAGGTATTAAAAGAAATGTTTTAGTGATGGACACCCTACTTTTTGGTGTTCTTGTGATATGTGTGATATGTCAGTAAAGTTGGTTTTGTCCAATTAAGTGTTTATATCATAAGTTAATAATTATTTGTTTGCATTATGTCCATCTGGACAGATCTGGGGACTTTGGAAAGTTCCCCATGATAATTTGGTTTTCTGTGATTGTGATGAATACAAAAGTTGTAGATAATTTATGTATCTAGCTCCTTTCAAAATTTGAGGGCATTTGGCCCAGTAGTTTAGAAACTACAGCTGTTTAAAGTTAGGTTCCAGTTTTGCTTACTCTCTGCCTTGTGAGGACAGAGTTCTGTTGATTTTTGAATTCGAGCTGGTAAAGGTTTGAATCATGCTTTGAGGTCTGAAAATGAATTGTTGACAATTTCATATGCTTTCCAGATTGTCTTGTTGCAAGTCATTTGGATTTATAAATCTCCAGTTATGGCTAGTTTACTGTACCGCTACATAGTCTTCATTCTGCTGAAATACAAATGCTTGAGTGTATGTTGTTGCAATGTTCTCGTTGATTGTTTAGGGGTTAGCCTAACTTGAGAATATGCTTAGGTGCAGGTTCTAGGTCATTAATTGAAGATGAGCAATTATACATTAGGTTGTATAAACTTGGTAAGTAAAGTGATTTGAATAGGGCTTAAGTTGAAATATGCAAACTACAGCGAACATACGCATTCCCCGAGCATCCCTAATATTCGTTCATGTGCATCCATGATATTTATCTTGCGCATTCATGCAATAGGTGTGCCGGAGGGAGTGACGTTGCTGGAGTTCGAGGGAGCCAACCAAGAGGAGGAACCCGAGGTGCAGGAAGCCGACGAAGCAGTCGCCGCGGAGGATTTGCCCGAGTGCCCTAACCACCAGCCTTCCTCGTTCCTGAAAGGCAAGCCCCAGAGCATATTAAGCCTTCCATGTTTTTACAAATACTTTGAGTACCTTTTTTGTTGATGATGCATTAAGTATAGGAATTGGTTGGAACCAAATGCTGCATTATATATCCTTCCTTGTCCAGATATCGCACTGAAATCCTATTTAAGTTCAGGAACGGGTTAAATGCTTAGCCATGCTTAGTGCGGTAGAAGTCAGGTGATTTCCTGTCACCTGCGAGCTTTAGGATAAGGTGGATCACGGTTGGCTATATTTGCTATCGTGGAAAAGAACCATGTGAATAATGAATTAAGACCGGGCGGGGTCTTGTGTAGGTTTGAACATAGTGACTCCGTCTGAGTCATTTAAGAACCGATACGCTGTACATCCTCATGTCATGTTGAACGCAGCCTAACACTTAGCTGGACGGATAAGTCGTTCCGACCGCGAAGCCTAGTAGCTCGACTCAGGCCAGGGACGCGAGCAGTGGCGGCATTCTGGAGGTAGTAAGGATGTGCGGAGAGCCATTGGCATAAGTCCAAGGCGGGTTAGAGTCCCGAACAAACTTGGCAGAGTGGTTCTCTAAGAATGTCGATCTGATCGGACTCGTGACTCCTGAATCGTACCAAAGGTGACTTGTTTGCGACTCCGACGGGAGAAGCAGGGTTTGTGTTTAGGAATACCCCTCTAGCTAGATAGGAATCGATTCGAATCGCCGTCTCTCCCGGATAGTGAGAACTTGACTGAGCAGCGGCAACGTAGATTCAATTAATTTAACGATATGGTTAAATGGATGATGATAATAAGGTTGCCACAATGAATACCTGATATGGTTATTAATGTTTGCACCCTAATAAAATGATTGCTTAGTACAGGTGCTAATATAGTTGACAGGTTAATGGCTAAAAAGTCACTTTTAGTTCAGGCTAAGAGTTGATCATTATTACTTATGCTTTTCTGCAAAAAAAAGTGTCAGCCAGATCCACTATATTAAGCTATGCATAATCCTTGGTGTTATTTATTTTGGTTTTCATCGGGTAAGTCTAGCTGAGTACATTCCCGTACTCAGGGTTTATTCTCTCTTGTTGTAGATGACCTTCTATATCAGGGATTCTGTAAGTATTGTCTCCACCCGGCGGGTGATGAAGACTAGATCATGGGCATGATCTCTGTTCTCTTATCTGAATGCTTTTGCGGACTGTGATCAGCAAACCAGTATGTGTATTTGAACTCGGATGTGTGAGTTAAACTATTTGCTTCCGCATGTTTTACAAGACTTGTTTTGTAATAATGATGACTCTGTGATGATTTAATCTATTTGCGAACGTCTGCGAAATGTTGTAACGTACGATATGTTATGTTGAATTACTGTGATTTTGGTTGTATGCAAGTTGGTTTGAAATCCTTCGAGATTTCAGTTGACTACCGGGTTTATATGGGCTCAAGTTTGAGAATTTGATCGTTTCGGCGATTGTTTTTGTACTTGTGCTCTTATAAATGGTCGGTTCTGTGACAAAATTAGTGCGCATAATCTCGTGTCGATGGAGCATATGGCCGAAATAGCACCTCCCGCCTCTAAAAATTTCATTCCGCGCGCATGCAACGAATCCTCCCGCGCGCAGACACAAAATCACCGGCAAAAAAAAACAAAAAAAACTCCCACATGCCCCCTCCCCGGCTTCCCCCACACACCTTATCCGCAATTCCGCATGCCGCACGCAGGCCTCTCGGGCAGGCCCCCAGCGCCACCCACCTCCCTCGTGCCGCAACTCGGCCGGCTAGCCAGCCGCCTGCCGCCTCCCTCACACCGCCCACCCCTCACTGCCCAGGCCTCCCTCGATGCTCGCGCCACCCACCCTTCCCTCGCACCGCCAGCAGCTCCCTGACGAGGCGGCCGGCGGGCTCACGAGGCAGCGCGCGCGGATCTGGTGAAGGATCTACTCGGCGGCCACAGGAGGCGGTGCGGATCAGTGTGGGAGGCGCCGGTCCTAGGCAGCTGCGGTGGTAGTGTGGGACGGAGAGGCGACGGTGGTGGTGACAGCGTTGGTGGCGGCGGTGCTGATCCAGGAAGCGGTGGCGTGAGATGATGAGGCCGCGACAATGGCGACCGCCTTCGCCATCCACTATCGCGTGCTCGTCGCCGTCGTCGTGTTGCTGAACTGCGGGCGTGCGGGAACATGCCACAGGTCCGATTCAGCTTCGCTGCGACTGCACGAGTAAGTTGGCTCTTCTTCCCTTGCAATCACTATATGTATGCATGCTTATTTTGTCCCATGTTGCAGGATTCAGTTACTCGACTTCCGTTCAATAGATCGGCCACAACAATTTTTTTAAACTGAATGATAGGCTGTTTTCAGGTTCAGTAAAACTGCATGTTTTGTCTGTGTTGAATTGATAAAGTTGCCTGAGGCAAAATGAAACAACAAAAATGGATCGTCTAGATCATAACCAACGAACCAGTATGGAGTTAGTTACTCTTCGAAACAAAAAGGCCTTTTGCAAATGCTGCTGCGAGTTGCCATGTGAATTATGAATGACATTTGATTTCTGAGATATTAAAGTTAAAGTTATCCACATGCAGTCTGGTGCACCGTGCACCTGTTTCTGGTAGAAGGGGCTTGATTTTAACATATCCACATCTCTGTTTGTCCAACCTTTTTTTCCAGTGTATAAAAATTAAAAACTCTATCTTAGCCATGCTTCTTTATTTCTCTTTGGCATATTATTGTTGCAGACATGAGGAAAATATTGGCAAAAAAATTCAGCATGTCGAATGACAGAGGCTGCATAGGAGAAATTTCATTGATAAAATTGATCCAAAAATCAAGCGCTTATGGTAACTCCTAACATTGAGTAATTTCATGTTTTGGTTGAAGTAAAGCCACCAATCTATTGTTTTCCCCTTTTGTTTACAATTGAATTGGCCACCTTTTCTGCAACTGTGTTAGTACCCTGCTTTCGTGCATATTTATTTATCTGTTATTTCAACAGTAGTAGAGATTTTTAGGATACTACACCATCTTCCATTCAATCACTTTGAGTTCATTTCTTTTTTTTAGCTGCGTTTTTGTATATTTACGTATCTTATTTTGTGAAGACATCACATTACGGGGAATATCTCAATGTCCGGGTAATATGTCTGCCCATTGCGGCATATTGGTCTTGCAAGAAAGCCTAGATGCATGTTCTATGTAGGCACACACTTATGTATGATGTATACACACGTGTTAGTGTCATGCCCCTGTCATGTAGAATGTGAATTATTACCATGATCAAGTATGTTGATAACACTAATGACTTCGTCAGCTTATCAAAGTAGAAATATTCTGCTGATATATGTGCATTATTCTAGCAAGGTCTAGAAGGCAGCAGAAGTGACTGGCGGCCAATCACTTAGCCTTGTACGACGTGCCACTATCCTCATTCCCCTGATTGCCTCACCACTTCAGCAGCATATCACCAATCTACATTAGCGAAAGGTAAGGGTCAGCTTACATGACTGATTAATTTGTGCCATTGCATAATTTCAACTTTTGCTAAACTGTGCCATCGTGGGGAAGCAGGAAACACGCACCAGCTATGGCTATGCTATAGTGGTTGATGAAGAGAGTGAATTAAGGTGCTGATGCTGGTTTGTTGTTTTTGGTTTTGTTGGGTGCAAAGAAATCCTTGTATGGGCTCGAGGAGAGGATTGCTAGCCTCAGGGTTGCTGTTGCTTAGAAGAGGGCAGAGGTGGAGATGATGAAAGGGGAGCATAGATTGAGTTCAGTAGTAAAAGCGCAGGTAAGACGAAGTGTTGATTTTCTAAAGTTTTGAATTGTTGTTCTGTTCAGTGTACATTTCTTCAAGCAAAGAAGTTCTCGGAAATTAGTAGCTGCTATGACGTCCGTTTGTTCTTGTGACAGGTTGTGCAAAGCTTGCTCAAGTGGAATTATAAACTACAATGAGTCTCAGGTGGAAGAATGTTGATAAGATCAAGTTGGTAACCTATTCAAGCCATCTTGTGTCCTCCAGGTACTGACCTTGCAATGTCTCTCCAATTTTCTTATTCCATTTTGCTGAAGCTCTGTGGATATAATAACTGTGGGCTTAATTTTAGGATAGGGACTATTTGATTATGATAAAGCTAAAATAATACCTATTGAAGTTACATATGGATAGCGTAGTTAACCGTAGATGTGCTTTCTTGCTTTATATGGTCTAATCAATCCTTGAAATAGTGCTTATTCCAAATTACAATTTGGTCCAGATTGCTTAATAGTGAAATACAAGGATGTACTAAATTTTCTCAAACAGCAACAAAAGACTCCCCTACTCTTTTCTTCTACGGAACAAATTCAGCATGGATAAGCAGTAATATGCTCCACTTGTTTAGTTGTTTTATTATTGTCCCTGACATGGTTATATATAACAAGTATGGCCATTAGTTACAGAACTGAATAATAAGACAAGCTTGCTCTGTTTTCTTTATCTGTTGATCTTTCTGCCAAATGCCAATAACGAATGCCTTTCGAACTTTAGGCATAGACATTTCTTATTTCATTACTTGTAGTCTTTTACCCATACTAATGGATGTTTACAGCTTTCATTTTGTTTCCTAATTCTACTTCATATGTATATGTAACACCCTAAAATTTGTACTTTTTGAAAATAAGATTAAAATGATTTATTTCTGAATTTTGTGCTCATGAAACTGCGTAGGCCTTTCTCTACCTGCTGCTAAGAGGTTGGCGTTGAAAGAACCTGCTACTATTTTAGTCAACTACATCTTTTTTCATTATTAGGACGAACTCATTTAGTGCTTTGGATGCAAATTTGTACAAGTATTCTAAACTACTAGAAAATCAGTATGTAGTAATGAATTCAAGTCTGCCATTGCTTGAAAATTTTCCACATTTGTATACTAATGCAAACTATTTTTCTTATCATGTTAGGATCAAATGGAAGCCATCAAGGCTCAGCCTGCTAAAGTTGTTGCTCAGGTTTTGCCATCAAGTAAATTTCTTCGAAATGTTGGCCTTGAGCCAACATTCGCTAAGAGAAGTGCTACTGCTGTTGCATGTGTACAAGAGTTGGAGATTGAAGTTGTGGCAGAGAAGCAAGGTGTTACAGCACTTAGAGATCAACTTCATGGCCAGCAGGATGAGTTGGATGTATTGAAGAAGGTTGTGGAGTCAGAGGAAGCAAGGGAGAAGTAGGCAGAAGAGATTGAAAATTTGAAGAAGCAAGCAGAGGAAATCAATACTCTTCTGTGTCGATTGTTCATCTTGAACAAGGACTAGGTCACTCCTTACCTTTTCCTCAACATGGTTTGGATATGAGGCTGTTTATTTTGGTACTTAGCCTGGACTTGGATATGTGGTAATGGTTTGGATGTAGCTGTTTATTTTGGTAATGGCTTGGATATGTGGCTTCATATTTTGCTACTTGGTTGGACTTGGTAATGACATGGACATGTGAGGATTATGTATTTTGGGTGGAGTTTGACATGTGACAATTATTTGGACATGTAACTATGAATGAATTTGATTTGCCAAGTAATGTACTGAAATCTGGCTATTTTCAGTTTGCTTGCTGGTTATAAATTGATTTTGTGGGCTGCAATATATTAAATCCGCACGTTTTATGCAATATTTTTTTTACGATGTTTTGTGATCCTACGTGGCACCTGCATATACATCCATGGTCAGTGGTTTGCGACGATTCCTTCACTTGATAACGACGATAATCGAGTGTCGTAAATCAACGACGCCAGTAGGAACGTCGCAAAAATTACGACGAGAATATCAATTTTGTCGCAGAACACCTTTAGCTACAGGGCATAGGTGACGAATGCATTTTTGTCGCAGGTGCGTCGTAAATTGTAAAACACGACATTATTTTCAGTTTCTACGACATAAGTGCAATGTCATAAAAGGTCATATCTCTTGTAGTGGTGTCTGATGGAAGACGAGAACCTCCAGAAGCATGCTATTTTGGGCGGTTCTGCTACAGGTGGTATCAGAGCCAATAATGAGTCTACGAGTTTCATAACTCTTTTCAAAACCTAAAATTTGACCAACAAAAGTTTTACCAAAAGTAGGATGTGATAAAATTATGTAAATAAGTATAAGCCCTAGTAATATGGTCTATCTAGGATAGTGACACTGATGTTATCTAATCAATCTTCTATAGGTATACTAACTTACGCTGCGTAAGAATCGTTTAGCAAGCGAAAAGTGAGTGTGCGATGTGCTAAATTTTTTTTGGAATGCCGCTATATTCTGGCTTGAGTGAACGAGTAGGTCGATGCACGCATCATGAAAAGAGAATCTTGCTTAAACTAAACTCCCCCACATGTATAATTTGAATTAGTGAATTGATAGGATAACCTAAAAGAATGCTTTAATAAAAGTCTTATAATTTCTTTAAGTCTCTTGTTCCTAATCTAGAGGGTTGTTCCTAATGGTTGGTTCTTATCTGTTTATAGATGAACCTAAGGTCTGGCCGTGGTAGTACCAGCACTGGGGCAGACTAGGGTGATAACGGTCATGGTGAGGACATTGGCAACAACAATGGGGATAGCCACAAGGCCCCACTTCTAGCTCCTCCTCCTCCTCCACCACCACCTCCGATGACCCATGCGGAAATGATGGCGGAAATGCTGGCTGCTCGGCGCAAGTCTGCCCATGCCTTAGAGATGCTTGCCTAGACTATTGGTGGCTTCGCCTGTGGAGGCCCCAGTGGCAACGGCGGGAATGAGGGTGGTGCCCATGCTCCCACAGGGCCCTGTTCCTACCAGGACTTCCTAAAGATGCACCCGCCCATGTTCACGCCAACTGCTGAGCGTCTAGATGCGGAGCATTGGCTTCGTATTTTGGAGTAGAAGTTTTAGCTGCTCACTATGATTGAAGAGCAGAAGGTGCGCTTTGCCACACAGCAGCTTCTGGGGTCTGCTAGTGCATGGTGGGATACTTTCAATGACTTGCAGCCTATGGACCACCGTGTGACTTGGCAGGAGTTTACCACTGCTTTCTATGAGTACTATATTCCTACTGGTTTGCTGAACCGGAAGTTGACTAAGTTCCTAGATCTGAAGCAAGGGAGTATGACTGTGATGGATTATGTGAACAAGTTCAACCATCTTGCACAGTATGCTGGGACTCATGTAGACACTGATGAGAAGAAGAGGGACCGTTTCTACCATGGCCTCTCTTGTATCTTGCAAAAGGAGCTGTACACTGGGGGATATCAGACTTTTGGTGCCTTTATGAATGCAACCATTGCTATAGAGAGACTTCAGCATGATTCTCAAGCGGAGTGGAAGCGCAAGCGGGTGATCACTGGATCTTCTAGTCACCCACAGGCTCAAAAGGTGTAGGTTGTCAGGAGGATGTCCTATCACTGTCCGGGTGGACAGCTGTCTCGCCAGACTCAGCGACTCACCAGGCACCTCCCACCCAGTATAGTGCACCTACTCTGCAGGTGCAACAACAGCCTTAGGGATAGGAAGTTCTGCCTCATCAGGGATAGGGGAACAAGCTGGGTGCTTGTTTCAAGTGTGGCAATGTGGGCTACTATGCTCGGGAGTGTCCATAGAACTAGCCTGCGCAGTCTTCCCAGCCTTCAGCTAACTCTTGTCTGGTCAAGAGGACGATTATCAAGAAAAAGGTGCCCGTAAGCCGCTCTGGACAAGTCAACTTCACTGAGGCTGAGGAGATTCTGCAGAATGAACCTGTGATGGCTGGTATGTTTACCATTGATTCCCACTCAGCATATGTGTTATTTGATTCTGGTGCATCACATTCATTCATGAACATGGGGTTTACACAGAGGCACAATATATCTCTTATGGCTATTCCTATTGCCTATAGAATCAATACTTTTGGGTGCGCAGTTGTGTGTTAATACTCGGACGAACATAGTCAGATTAGTGCTAGCCACTCATACTTACCGCCTCTAGTTCATGGTGCTGCCTGGGCAAGACATAGATGCAATTCTGGGCATGAACTGGTTGCGAGTTTATGGGGTAGTCTTGAACCTTAAGCGGAGAGTTGTTGAGTTATGGCTTCCTTCTTTTGAGGATAGGATGTCTCTCCTTATGCCCTTAGATTTAGCCTTACTAGTTGTTGCTCATATTGAAGCTTCTATTGATCTTGCTTCTATTCCTGTGGTTTGTGTGTTTTCGGATGTCTTTCCTAAAGATCTACCGGGGTTACCACCGGATAGGGACGTGGAGTTTACTATTGAATTAGAACCTAGCACTACTCCTATTTTATAGCATCCCTACCGCATGGCTCCTAAAGAACTAGCAGAAATGAAGAAGCAATTAGAGGAATTATTGGAGAAGGGTTTTATCCATCCTAGCTCTTCACCATGGGGTTGCCTAGCTATTTTTGTGAAGAAGAAGGACGATACTCTGCGGATGTGTGTGGATTATCACCCTCTCAATGCGGTAACCATTAAGAACAAGTATAATTTATCTTGTATTGATACTTTGTTCGATCAATTGGCTGGTGCAAAGGTGTTTTCAAAGATGGATCTTCGTTCTGGGTATCACCAAATTAAAATCCGGCCACAAGATATATTAAAAATAGCTTTCTCTACTAGGTATGGGCTTTATGAGTACCTAGTCATGTCTTTTGGTCTCACCAATGCTCCTGCATTCTTCATGTATCTCATGAATTTAGTCTTCATGCCAGAGTTGGATAAGTTTGTAGTGGTGTTCATTGATGACATTTTGATATACTCCAAGAACAAAGAAGAGCATGCACAACATCTTCAGATTATACTGACTCGATTAAGGGAACACAAGCTGTATGCCAAATTCAGCAAGTGTGAGTTTTGGTTAGATCAAGTGTAGTTTTTGGGACATGTTTTGACACCTGAGGTATCTCTGTGGACCCAAGCAAGGTGCAAGATGTGTTAAATTGGAAGTCTCCAAAGTCAGTGCATCAGATCCGTCAGTTCCTTGGTCTTGCTGGTTATTATCGGCGCTTCATTCCTAACTTCTCCAAAATAGCCCAACCAATGACCAAGTTGCTCCAGAAAGATGTCAAGTTTGTATGGAGTCAGGCTTGTGAAGAAGCTTTCCAAGCCCTGAAGAAGTTTCTTACCTCTGCTCTGTTCTTGCCTAACCAGATATTGATAGACTGTTTGATGTGTATTGTGATGCCTCTAGGACTAGACTGGGATGTGTGCTTTTGTAGGATGGGCGTGTGATAGCTTATGCTTCACACCAGCTGAAAAAGCATGAGGTGAATTATCCCACCCATGATTTAGAGCTGGCTGCTATGGTGCACGCTCTAAAAATTTGGAGGCATTATTTGTTGGGAAATAAAGTGTATATTTATACAGATCACAAGAGGCTCAAATATATTTTCACTTAGTCCAAGCTGAACATGAGGCAATGGAGATGGCTGGAGCTAATCAAGGATTATAATTTGGAGGTTCATTACCATCCTAGAAAAGCTAATGTGGTAGCTACTGCCTTAAGTCAAAAGTCACATCAAGTTGAAGAAGAATCTTTGTCTCTCAACCATTCTAAGGTGTTAGCTCATATTGCTCTAGTCTTGGATTTACTTGAGCAAATTATTATAGAGCAAAGGCAAGATGTTTTAGAAATTCCGCATATCAAGGAGTTAATTGCTGAAGGGCGTGGTCCTCATTTTAGTGTTGATGACCAAGGTGTAGAGAAGTTCAAGAACAGATTGGTTGTTCCCTCAAGTGATGAGCTTAGGAGAAAAATTTTGGACGAAGCTCACAACTCCAAATTATCCATTCATCCAGGAAGTAACAAGATGTATCATGATTTGCGTCACTTGTATTGGTGGCCAAATATGAAATAGGACATTACCAAATACATCTCGGAATGTGACATTTGTGGAAGGATTAAGGCAGACCATATGTGTACGCCTGGATTTCTACAGCCTTTGCCTATCCCTGTTTAGCAATGGGAGGATATTTCCATGGACTTTGTTGTGGGTTTGCCCCACACGGCGAAGGGGTATGACTCTATTTGGGTCATTGTGGATCGCCTTACCAAGTCCGCTCATTTTCTCCTAGTGGATACTAGATATTCAGCCAAGAAGTATGCCAAGTTATATTTTGATCGGATTGTGACCCTGCATGGAGTTCCCCTTACTATCGTCTCTGATAGAGGGTCAGTCTTTGTCTCTCATTTCTGGGAGCAACTTCAGAAATGTCTTGGTACTAGTCT